GGAATCAAGGTCGATGGGAAGAGGCGGAGTCGCTGTTTGTGCAAGTGATGGAGACGAGCAAGAGCAAACTTGGAGCGGACCATCCTTCCACGCTGACCAGCATGAATAATCTCGCGGTAACATACAGCATGCAAGGACGAGAGGACAAGGCGGAAGAGCTGAAGATGCAAGTGATGGAGACGAGCAAGAGTAAACTTGGAGTGGACCATCCAGACACGCTGACCAGCATGAATAACCTTGCGTTCACCTTTAAGGGCAAAGGTGATAATGGGAAAGCCATCCGGCTAATGGAACAATGCATTCGAAAACAGAAGTATATCCTCGGCCCAGACCATCCGTACACGAAGGACTCAGAAGATGCACTTAATAGTTGGCGCATAGAAGGCTTAGGCCTGGGTTCCTGCAGTAAGGAAGTAGGCAACACAGTAGCTATAGCATAACCAGCAAGCAGGGCAATGTCGCGCCTACCGTGAGTCAACCTAAACTGCATATAGGTACAAGAAATAAGGCTTACAGCTAGGAGCACTTACCAAGATAGTAAGGCTATAATAGGGTTTGTCAAAGGTGGGAGTTGGCAGATGCAAGAAGCATGATAAGTAATGTTAGAGAGGATAGCGACGTGGCGAAAGGTCATTCAAGGGGTATAGGCGAATACTTGGCAGGGAGGAGGTAACGGAGCGGATTTAAGTATCAAGTATGAGACAAGAAAGTATCTTACTAGCTACATTTGGACAGTTAAGCGCCGAGAAAGATTGATTGGACAAGATGAATGCTTTCACGACAGGGCATGAAAGAACAGTCGTGTGTGCAAAAGGTGAAGCAGGTTTTGCAATCTGCTGCATTGGCAGAGAAACTGAAGACATGAGTCTTAAAAACAGTGTGAGGCTGCAGATCAGATGAATGGGAAAGAAAGGAAGTCTATCCATTAGAAAGGAACGTGGGGGTAAGCGCTGCGACGGCAGAGAGACAAGAAAGTAAATTAACTAACTAAAAGAAGAACAGAAATCGCACCAATTGAAAATCTGTGGGACATAGGCTAGCACACGGTAACGCACCCCCGAGGACTGGAGACTGAAAATGTCAAAGGCACAACACAACGGCGGAACGCTCGGCCCAGACAACTGAGGGATATCCGACACGAAGATTGAATGAAGGAAAAGGCTAGAAAGAAAGTGCAAATCAATCACAGAATGCAGTTTTGCAAGAAAAGTATTCATTTTAGGGTTGACGAAGAAAATTACTAGCCCAAACCCACAAGGTATTTAGAATAACAGGTGCAGAGACAGTTAGAAACGTTAGTCTCAACACGAGCAAGAGAAGTCTGCAAGTCCATAGGACGCAGGTAGGACGCAGGAAGGTAGGGAAGAGGCAATAAAATTCATCCACTAACGAACAATAAAACTAACTACAGGCTTAAGCTAGAGCGCAGTGCTGGGAAAGAAATCGAACGATGGATTAATCACCGCAGAGGGGGCAAGGGGGGACAAATGTGCGGAATAAATGGAAATTAAATACATCGAGAGTGCGAAAGCGAGGGTGGAGGATTTACAAAATGGAGGATGAGGGGATTCAAGCACATCTCGAGGATTCTAGGCGATGGTACAAGATGGATATCTAGGAACGACACCATGGAGGAGGGACTGCTCCCACTCAGCCCCGAACATATCCAGAATTGGGAGGACAGCAGGGAAAGAGACGGAGAAAGTAAAGACGGAGGGGGGGAAGTCAGCGAGAATCATTGGCAAGCAAAAACGGAGTCTTAAGCCAAGACAAGAATACCAAAATTAAAACAGTACGGTGGATTCGCTAGCAAATAGCCCGCAGATTGAAATGAAGTCAAGAGGTCCAGAGGACGCAAGAGGACGCAAGAGGCGTCCTGCTGGAATGAGATAAAGGCATGGAGAAAAGGGGAGCGAGGACCTAGTAACTTTCAAGGATGACGATGATATAGGAAGTCGACAACAACCTGCAGGTATGAATCCTGGAGACAAGAAACCCGAGAAGGAAAAATAGCATCGGACTAATTGAAACGAGTAATAAGAACGGAAACGAATCCTAGAGGTCCATAGGTTGTAGAAAGAGCGACGAGTGGGGCCTGGGGACGCGTAGGAAGATAACCTAGATTAAAACGGAGCAGAAGCTAGAATCTTACCAATGAATAGGTAAGCCTAGAGGTCCATGGAACGAAGTGAGTACTAAATCATGAGATGTGAAACATCGACAGGAATGAAGATTAGGGATGAAGAGAAACCTAGAGGTCCACGGGACGCAGCATATTTTCCAAAGGCCGAAAAAAAAAGGTAAGGCCAGGCAAGAAAACGATAACTAAGTCAGACGATTCACAGTACATGCAGGTGTAGCGAGACACGAAGACGGGATATAGACGACTGAACTGATGAAGAGCATGCGCCCTCATCCAAACGGAAAAAGATTGTAAACGACTTCACAGCGAAGGATGTGATAAGTGATAACGAGGGAAATGAACAACCACTAGAAGAGGAGGAAAGAATCAGAGGTTGCTAAAGGCTTATGAAAGAAAGGGGCCATCGAATAAAGTACTCGACATCCATAGGGCGCAGGATAAACGGAGGAAAAGAAAATCGACACGGAAAAAATACTTGCTCTCCATAGAATGCGGATAAAGGGAATGAAAGGAATCGACAACAGAAAATGAATACTTGCTCAACATTGGAGGGGGCAGGTCTAGTCGAGGCTGGAAGTGAAAAGGTGTGGACAAGGAAAAAAGGGGCGAGCGAAACTCAGGGGCCAAGACTCTTGCCAATCAAGAAATACTTACTCGGGTAATGGATGATCCCGGTAAAAGAGATAGGTTTTACGGAAGGGCTGATGAGTGAGCATCAAGTGAACTGATGTAAAGACCTGAGGTAAGATGCCGAAGATCTATCAGGACCTTCGACGGAGTGTATATATTGCGCGAGGTACTATCTCAGGCTCTCGTTGGTACGATACGCAAGGCCAGTAGCCACCGTCGAGGGCAGTTATACAGACCGGGAAACTCCCACATCCAAGTGGTTGACGAAAAATCAACCCGTGCTTTATCGAATAGCGTATAGATCTCAGAGTCGACACATCGAGGATCCTTACTAGATGCGAATGCGCTCGGAGTCAACGTCCTTGAAATTCTGTACCTTACGAAAAGTTGTTATAGGCGATCTCTTCCAGGCGGACCCTTCGTCTCCTCAAGAAAAAAGAAAGTGCCAAGGCTGATGAAGTATTGCGGACCGAAATGTGCGGAAGCCGTGGCACGTGCCTTACTGTGCGGTGAAGACAGCAAAAACCGTGAAGATGCGCTTGAAGTTAGGCCATCTGAGAAGTTCTACTCTATCAAATCAGGATGTGCCGATGCTGCAGGACGGAGGGGTCTTACCTTTGAGACAGAAGCCCTCAGTCCCGCGCTCCTCCATCTCAACACCGGTGCGAATCTCCTCCGTTTCGTCGACTGTGTCTTGCGATACATCGGCACGGATCCATTTGAGGCTCTCCCAGGCTTCCTTGTGTCTAGCTTTTTGCGTAATCCATCGGATAGATTCCTTCAACGTCAGCATGCCGAGTCCCAGCTATGCGGCGGGGACGAGCGGGAGGCCAATGGGGATCTGCCATTGCATGGCTTTGGACGACGAAACCCCCTTAAGAACTCCGTAGTCGACCCAGTAGGAGGCGAAGATGCCTCTGTGTGACCTCAACTGCATGTCCCGGCAACCCATGTCGGGGAGACAGGGGGTGCTCACATAGTGTACATCAATTGGAAGAAGCTTCCAATCTGGCCGCGCAGCTCCTTAGGCGCCATCTCGTGGCTGAACATGGACACCACGACTGAGCTAGCGCTGAATCCGACTCCCGCAATGATTCTCCCAGTGGAGAAGGCGCCCATGGAGTGCGTGTCGATCGTCTGGATGATGGCACCGCCACAGAAGACTGACGACAACATCAGCGCCTTGCTCCGACCCAACCAGTTCGTGACGGGCGATGTCACGAAGCAGGCGGCGAAGGCACCGGCTTAGTGCAGGCCTACGGCAAGAGAGTTGCCGCGGATCTTATGGGCCGTTGCATATCGGGACGAGTCAACGAATGAGGCTAGGGTCAGCACGCCTCCTAGGGATTGATCAGCGTGCAGAATGGTGTTACTTCTCCTAGTAGAGAGTCAAGCACCAACGCTGGTAAGGATGATCAGCCCATGATGCTTGGAGTTTTGAGAGGGCTCACGCTGTTGAGGTCAGGAGGAGTGGTGTTGGTGGAAAGAGCGTGGGGAGAAGCTTGTGGGGTAGCTCCGTTAAGGGCAGTCGCCGAGGCGATACTCCTTAAGCACCACCTCCGCAGTGGGGAAGCAACACTCGCATTCCAGAGTCATATACAAACAAGAAGCCGCCGATGCAGACCACCGTACCCAGCCAGTATTCTCTAATCTTCCCTAGAGTCGAGTTTCGCATGGTATCAAGCTCGAAGGTGATGCGGCGGTGTCACTGGAGAGCCGCAGCTTCCTGCCCTCGCAGCGCCTTTAAAGGGTCACAATGCACTACATCCATCCCAGTGGAGTGCCATCACGCAATCCAGGGTCCAATATCGATCATACACAGCTACTAACGATGGTAACTGATGGTAGACATGCTGGTAGTGAATTGGGGGATGGCATTAGTGAGCTTGTGATTGAGATGGGGGCAACACTCCATTCGGCTACTACAGCCGGAGGCCTCACGCGAAACACCGGAACGTCATCAGAACAAGCAGCTGCAACGTTGATCCGGAGTCCGGAGCGAAGAAGGGATCAATGCGAAATGAAGGAAGCCTTACCGGGGTGAATTAATTCGTTTCCGCTTTGCGAAGAACATTAAAGTTAGGTCAACTTTTACAGCACGTTTCGAGATGGCAACAGTAGAAAGATAGACTTCTTTCTGTATAGAAATACTTGCCTTGTAAATATCTCTTGTCTACAACTTCCTATTAAGTTTTATTTTTGTAGCGTTGTCACGTTTGTTTTCGGAAGTTGGTGACTTTGGGCTCGATCCTTGGTAAGGCGCAAAGCGGAAACGAATTAGTGCATGGCCGTCGCCTCCTCTCTATGCGGAGATGAGATCCCACCGACGATCATGCTTCGGTCCTAAAAGCAAGGATTCAGGACCAGCAATACTTGTATAAACCCCCTTATGATTGACGGAAGACTAAGCCGCTTCTCTCTAACGACAGCGACTAATTGTCAGAGTATAGGGATAGCAACTCTCCGCTTGTGCTCGATCCCCACTCAACGCGTCGGCATCCTACCCCTCCCTGTCATGTAGTCTCAGGTTGCACGCACTTACAGGTATCTGCAAGCCACGAGGAAGACATTCCCTGATACAGCGTCTGTCAGATATTTGCGAGGTGGATCAGGGGCAGACGGAAGGGGGAATGGACGACTCTGTAGGGAACGTCATGAGAAGCTTCGTCATTGGTGCGGGGAGCGCCCAGCGCCCCTGATGACGGGTTACCATACCCAGGAACTTGTGGATGCAGACAAGAGCAGTTAGGGCTTCATTTAATTGGAGTCTATTTCCACTTCCCATGAAGATTCGGGCTTTTTCACAGGGCAATTTGTTCCTTGTTCAAGCAGTACTTTGTTCTTCGCCTCTTTCAGTGCACACACGATTGAGAAGTCTTCCAGGTACCTCCAATTGTCCCACAGTTGCCAGCCAGAATGGCTCAAAAGAAATGCCCCAACTTCCTCATTATCCTCGCAGACGATCTCGGCTTCAGCAACATCGGATGCTTCAGCGGCGAAATCCAAGCCCCTAATCTCTACAAGGTATGACCAATCAAGCCCATTGGCATCCAGCGGCATCGAGTCTTCCACCCAAGACACCATTGTGAGGGTTCTGGCCATGTCTCTAAGAGAAACGAGATGGCAGGGGCTATGATTGATCGTGCATCTACCAACCCCTACCTTCCTCCTCATGCAATATCCTTCCGCCAAGCTGATGATTTCCAATAGCTTGCACAAGAAGGTCTCCGATTCGCAGACTTTTATGCTGCAGCTACATGTTCTCCTTCCCGTGCTATGCTTATGACAGGTACACACCAGCACAGGCTTAGGTAATTTGATCAAATGGACCAACATCTCTTGTCAAAATGATCCTAAATGAAACATGTGAGCTGCGCCTCAACGAAGCATGCCAGGTTACGAGAGATATCTGAATGAACGAGTTGTTGCAGGTATGTGACATCCTTAACGACCTTCATGGATGCCGTATCGTGAAAGATTCCGTCTTCAGCTCGAATTTTGATGAAGCTAAAACCCGTGACCGGATCTTTGGCATATGCTGTACCAAAATCCGATGGTGATAAGACCGATCACGCAACGTCCTCGAGCCTTCGAACATCCAAACTTTCATCACTTCGGGCTAAGATCACCTAGTAAGCGAAGTCCTCGCTGACACCGGCTACGCGACCCTCATGTCCGGAAAATGGCATCTGGGCCTCACCCCAGAGCGCTCTCCCAAAGCCCGTGGATTCAAGATATCCTTTACTAATTTACCAGCATGCAAGTAAGCTCCCTTGCTCTCTATTTCATATCTTTCCGCCCTTCTCATTATTCCTACCCACTGGCCATGCATCCCATATACATCATCGCCACTAGTTTCTCCAGCAACAACTACGCCTATGAACCGACCTTCGATAAATCCACCGTCGACACAATCCCCAACTTCATGACCTTGTCGTTCATAGTCCTAGGCTTTGAAAATAGCGACTACGTCCGGCACCTCCCGGAAAACGGGTTCTCCTCCAATGGTTATGGTTCCAAATTCCTGGACTATCTACGCGAATGGAAAGATGGAAATACTGCCAACCCCGACACCGTCCGTCCATTCTTCGCATACCTACCCTTCACCGCACCGCACTAGCCCCTCCAAGCGCCGCAAGTATTCGTTGCGAAGTACAGGAGGGCATACGATGATGGCCCTGATGTACTTCGAGAAACGAGATTACAGAAGTTGAAGGAATTAGGCATGACCCCGCAAGACGTAACGCCGCATCCTGTTGTCGCCGACGAAGTAAAACTCTGGTCCGAAATGGTCACTTTCGAACGCCAACTCTCCTCCCGCGCCATGGAATGTTCTACCGGCATGGTCTCCTGCATCGATCATACGAAGCTTACCCTATCGTTCAAAGCCAGATGATGCAACACCTCTACAAATACTATAAAAATTCCCCGGAGAATCTCGGAAACGGAGATTCGTTTATCTGGCATGGACCCCGTTGCCTCCACAGCGCCGAGTCGGTTCTACAAAGCATACACAATGGAAGGTGTGTGTGTCCTATTTATCGCGAAGTTCCTAGAGGGTATGCTAGCGGATGAACGTGTGGATGCGATCACGGATACCTTTGCGACGATCAAGGATGTGATTCCAACGATACTAGATATGGAGGGCGTACCACATCTAGCGCCGAGGTATAAAGCCAAGGAGATTGTAGCCATGCGCGGCAAATCTATGCTCCCATTTATCTTAGACAAACAAGACACTATCCACCCGCAAGACTTTATTCAAGGCTGAGAAACGTGCGGGCGGGCGGCTGTTCGCAAGGGTGACTGGAAAATCGGGTTTAATCCGAAACCGAAAGGAACGGGGAAATGGCCGCTTTATAATATAAGGATAGATCTAGGGGAGGTGGAGAATTTAGTGGAGAGAGAAGCCGGAGTGTTAGAAGAGTTGTTGGGGTGCGGGAAGAGTATATTTTAGAGGCGGGGGTAGTGCCGTTGGCGCTGGAATTGGAGAGGTAGATGTAGGTGTCTCAGTAATAGATGAGGGAGGATGAGTAGATTGAATATGAATATGTGAGTGGGGTTTCTGCTTTTGTTTGGTGGAGGGGTGGTGAATGGGTACTAACGCTTTGACAGTGGAAAGAGGGCGCTCGCCACAACCCGCCCAACTTCTTCAAGAAACCATGGCGGTATCAGGATAGGAAGAGGACCGATACGCATATCTAAATAGGGTGTGAATCGACTAGCTAAATAGCGCACATGAACACCTGTCTTTAGCACCTGTTAGTTGTTTCACAGAAAAGGCTAACCTAAATAAAAATTCCATTCCGCACACGACTTCACATATACACATTACACACACCTCCACTACCTACGGATTTGTTGTAATAATCCCTGTCAACATAATCGCATCATCGACCATGTTATTCAACTGATTAAACTGGCCCTGCAACCACATATCCAGCACCACCTGATCTTCATTCACAAAGGCCGTGCGTTCTGGCGGAAGCACTTGCGTGCACTCTTTCAAATCGTTGATGTTATTTACGCCGAGAAGGGAAAGTCGGGTGTATGCTTTTGCGTAATCCTGCCACCCCGATTATTAATCATCTACTTCTTTGCACGGCCGTCGTGGAGTACGTAGACAATTCGAAGGGGTTGGGAAGGCGGCGGGGGATTATTACTGGGAAAGCTTCGAGGAGATTATTGCTTACCTCATTCCAATGCGACTGGGCGCCGATAAACTGCTGCCACTCAGTCTTCGCCCTCGTATCCTGGCTCAATTTAACATCACTCGCAAACTTAAGCACCCTGGGTGGCGGACTCCCCGTCGTCTGCCCATAAAATGCCACATCCCACACTCCCGGTGTACTATCCTGCGGATCGCCATCTCTACTCGTATCCACAAAATGCTGCTGGGAGGTAGTGTGTGCACCTACTAGTGCCACCAGATCATGCACATCAATTGTCTTCGCTGCGAACAGCTTGATGATTTTATCCGCGGAGTCAGCAACATCGGGGATCAGGGCAGTGGGGCCAGCTTTTGCATTGTCTTTGCGGCCGACGAAGGACCGGATGCGTGGGCCAAGTGGGCAGACAACTGTTGCGATGTTGGCGCCCATCTGGATCAGGTCGGCCATGCTGACACCATATTGATGATATTTGTTATACCAGGTCTTCATCTGATCCCCAATCGCACTCAGCCCGTTATTATCACTCCGACTAATTTCGTCCGTGAGCAAAATACTCCCATCTGCGCCGCCATAAGTCGTCGTATTACTCCAAACAGCGGCATCATGGAAACCGAGCCTTACAGCGCCTCTCGCAAGTTTTGTGCAACGTCCAGAGGTGCCGTTAAACCGCGCAGTCATTTCATACGAAATCCATTTCCAGACGCAGCACAGGTCGGCTTTGCATGCGGCGCTGTCGACAGTACCAGGCGGGACTGAGGTGTCGATGGTATTGGAGCGGGCATCTTTTGTCCCAAGGATGATGGCTTTGATATCTTTGCCGATGGTAGTTAGTTGAGTATCTTTGAGCGTTTTGAGATCGCCAATCAATTGTTTTGCGTCTGCGCGAGGGACATTGGCGGCGCGGTGGAGGTCAGAAAGAGAATCCTTCATGCCCGGGTAGGCGATCGAGGAAGGTAGGTATGTGATGAGGGCATATCCAGAGAGGAAGAGAAGAGATTTCATAGTGGATAGGGAAACGAAAGGGTATCTACCCGAACTCCCAGAATGAATGCTGGCAATGAAGGAGAGCGAATATGGAGAAGAAAGAGAAACCAGAGGTTGGGGAAGTACTTATAGGCTACATGAGAACTGTGAGGGAACTCAGCCGTTCGTCTGGTTCTTGTGCATCGGACAGAAAGGGCTGCAAATTCTCGCAAGTCTACCTCCATGAAGCTCTGGAGGTCGAAAGATATATTAATACGAGATCACAGGGTCACCACATGGGGTCCAAAAATGGTTCAGGAAACTTGAAATGTGGGATCTGCCCGTCTTTCCGGTCGCTTGAGGTTGAACAGTGGTGTCTGGCGAAGCTCCTACGACGTGACGCTCGTCGGATGATAAGATTCTGACTGCCAAGAGAGGAATTGTCAGTTTTTTGATTGGGTGAAGGGTTCATCCGGATGAATAATGCAAGCCTCCAAACTGCAACAACGAAATACGACCTGCACGCCGTAGACCACAGGTACTCCAATACGCAACTTATATTGTTCTTGCAGGCGCTCGGTTCTTTCAGGAAAGTCGCACAAAACTTTGACGCGAACAGGCACTGAATTTTGGATACTGTGGTAAGGTACCGTAGCGAGAGGAATCTCCGGGAAGGACAATTGGCATTACCAGTCACCTATGACAATTCCATCCAGGTGAAGAGAGACCTCAGGTCCCAGATGTTAGACGTAAAGGTCAACCCAACGCCGATTTTCATGTCCAAGCTGGGCGAATTGGGAAATTCCGTGCAGCAGTCTGGTGGGAAACGTCAGGCTCCCGAGCCCACGATCGCTCGTACAGCCTCAACACCTCATCCAGGTTCGGTGATGCGCCACGCAATATATGGAGATCCGTCGATCCGGTCCTGGTAGTAGGTTGAGAGCCTATAATTAGTGTACATCGAATGTTGCCCAAGCTAGCGAGCAGTAGATCACCTTCGTTAATTTCGAGCCGTGCCTAGTTTGCAAGAGAAAGATTGAGTCAGTGAGTCTCAACATGGGCAAGATTCAGGCTCATCTATGATCCAATTGTTCGTCGCAGAGTGCGGTTGCAACCAGCAGTTTCGTTTAGGACAAGGGAGATGCCGCTCAAAGAGGGTTCGATAGTTTGATTATATAGAGTCGAGAGTCGTCTAACTCTCGAAGAGCCCAGTAGGAGCATGAACGAATGCGAATCCTACACTGGCGCGATAAGATGTATGTTGGGGTGAGCAGGTACGATTTAGCCGGATAACGAAACGCATTGAAAATGCAGCTGGACCATCCCGGAATCCAATGCGACCTGGATTGGAGTGCTGATGGGAATCACCGATGCCTGGAACCTGGATACTATGCATGTAAGACCAAACCAGCGGGCAGGCTCTCGCTTGACAGAGTCGATGTACCCTTCGAGTGATCCGTGCCTGAAGAGGTTAATATATATTTGCTCCGAATCCGAACTCCAGCTGCTCCATATCGCTAAAATTGCCCGAACAGCATAGCAAGCTCTTCAAATGATATCATCCAAGAGCTCGTGCTGTGAACACCTCTCCTCTCTGGCTATGCTCCAAGATGTTCCGAGCTCCTCGCTTGCTTTGACAAGGTGCTAATAGGCAGAAATGTTTGACTGAAAAAGATCGATTAGACTTCAAGACCTAAGAACGAGAATGAACCAACTCGCCAGAAGGCAGGTGATGTCGATTTCGAAACTGCGACGGGTTCAGAGCCAACAACTCGCGGAAGAGACCATCCCAGCTCTTCAGAATCTTGTAATCCGATATATGAGAGTTGAATGAAGCTTGCTATCCAGCATAGGAGGGTAGAATGTGTCGGTATAATACGCCAACTACCTTGGAGCAAAAGTGGAAACGTGAACGGATTGAAAAGTGGAAGAAAAACTGTTGTGCGACACGAAACAGATTGCCTTGGCGGAGAGCCGCAGAGTCCAAGGCACGCAATTGGCCTCCAAACTTCGAGATAATATATGAGTGAGGAATGGGGAAGCGACAAATATACAATATTTGTTTATTTCTTCAGACGGTGTTCGATAGATGAAATCGGCCATGAGATTGATGAAAGGAAGGCCAGACAGGAAGGCCAGACGTGAAGGCCTAAAATTCGGGGATAAGCTCCCTCGGAGCGGAAGATTGAGTTCTTCCCGACGGGAGACGGAAGGGCCGATGCTCACATCATCGCTCACTAGCCCTTTTTTGGCTGGTACAATTTCTAAATTCAACGCTTGCCTTCAGCTCCCCTCACAGCCACGTCCTCCATCAGCCAACAGTCGTTCGCACGACCACACTGAATGCACAACGAAAAGCATCGCCTCCAATGACGGATATCGCGGAGCTTAGTCGATCTATTTATTCCTCTATTGTGCATAATACTGGAGGTAGGGCTGCAGGACGAGTGTGGTGATGATCTCAGCCCGGGCGTGGGTCGCAGCCAGCCTCAATCCAGAAAACAACGAACCCGTTCAATCTCACTAATATCGACCCACATTGAAAATAGTTCTTATATAGAATGTAGAGCGTACTGTTGGTGGGTTTCCTTCATCTTCGCAATTTCTCCCTAACCAACTATATTATTCAAGATACTCGATCCCTTTTGATGAGGAGCTACTCCCATTCTAAGATTTCCGTCTAAATTCATAACGGCGTATTATTTTTGCTACTTTTCTACAAACAACATCAGCTCTACCTACCATACTTGTAATCGCCTCCAGACTTTCATCCTAACCCTCCATGAAGCGACTCTCAGGCATCTTTTCCTCTCCCAAGACTACTTTCCAGGTTCTCTCCGACCTACATCTGAACCACGACTCACAGTATCTGACATTTCACATCCCCGTTACATCGCCATACTTAATACTTGCTGGAAACATTGGTCGCCTTATCGACTACGAATCATACCTCTCATTCCTCATCCGGCGATGCAACCTTTACGAACGCGTCTTCTTCGTTCTTGGATCCCTTGAGTTCCATGGCCTCGCTATCCCCGACGGACTTGAGCTTGCACGAAAGCTAGAGCAAGAAGATCGCCTAAAGGGTAGGCTAATCCTTCTAGATAAGCGACGGGTTGATGTGCCCGACACCGAAATTTCGTTACTAGGGTGTACACTTTGGAGCAACATCCCAGAGGATGCAGAGTCGGCTGTGCTGAAGAAAGTCCCTGAGTTCGACAAGGCACAAGGAATTCGAGATTGGAGTATCAAATCACATAATGCTGCATATGTTACCGACCTCGCTTGGTTGCTGAGTGAAGTCAAGCGCAATACCTCGTCTTCTACGACGACGCGTACACTCGTTGTGGTAACGTCGTTTGCGCCAGAACTTCGAGAAGCCCTCCCCCCGTGGCAAGTCGGCTCGCCATGGTGTTCCGCATATGGTACAGAATTACTGCGGGGCATAGACTGGGCAGGAGTCAAAGTCTGGCTCTGTGGATCCACTGGCCGAACAGGTGAGTTCAAGAAGTATGGTGTCAAGGTTGTGAGTAATCAGCGAGGTTGTGTGGGAGAAGAAGAGAAGGGACTACTAAGGGATGGGCTCGCGGAGAAAGAAAAGAGAGGGCTGTTTGATGTCACAAAGGTTATTAAGGTGTAAGAAGACGGAGAACAAAAGCTATACGAGTAACGTCTTCAAAATGTAAATTACTAATGCCTGGGATTGAAGAAGGGTGCATTTTTAGAAAAGCGTATTACGAAGAGCTTCATTCAAACGTATTGGTATTACTAGGGTTACTGATTTAATTGCTACTATGAGCTAAAACATCCCGCATCACACAACTATGGGCTTCTTATGCCGGCTTCTCATGAATCGAAATCGCGTTCACATCCTGCAATCTCCATCCCGTCCCCCCTCCCAACTCGGAGTCCGGTAAGTTGTGCAATCTTTGCATCCAGGATGTTTGCACTCTTTGCAGACCTTCCCACCCTTGATGAAAGAAATTGACATCTTTCTTCTTGCACTCATGGCATTCGAGGAACTTTTTACCTCTCCCCTGCTTCTGTTCAGTCTCCAAATCTGGCTGTTGGGGCCTCCAAAAAAATGAGAACATTTTCAGTGTGGTAGTAGTTGTACAGTGTCGGAAGGAATCTGCTTAGAGAAAGAATGGAAGTTCTAATACTGTAACAGGAGGTGATCTTTATATGTATTTTCCTACCCCCCCAGGCCATCTTCGCATATCTTGCACTATATATACCTCTAATCTTGTCTATACAGACTGTTTAACCTAAGCGCCTATACTGCTGTCATAAGGGCAAACCACAGTTAGGCCCCATCCTCTAAGCCTAAACCCGCTCTGCTTAGGCTGTACACCTGCGCTGTCGCGTGTCCTCTACTCTAATTCCCTACACTCTTCTAGCCTAAGTACTTAACTAAGCAAAAGTGCCCCTACTAAGTAGAGATTATAACATTAATTACTACTCTTTTTAAAACAAAGTATAAATCTTTTAACACCTCTCTTTAGAGATTTGTCTATAGCAGGCGCAGCTTTATTAGAGAGCATAAACCTTCTAACTAACTTATAAATTAAGCTAAGCACTCTTTGCTATAAGTTAAACAAATAGATAAGCATGCTAGTAAAAAAGTTACTTTACTAAGCTTTTTTAAAGCTCTTTACTAAGAACTTAAGAAACTTAAAACTTTTTTTTACTTACTACTAACTTTATATAAACTATAACCCTAGGGCTGTTACAGTCCACAAGTGGACCAGACAAAACCCAAATGATAACCCCTACTACGTAAACAAACAAGCTTGGAACCCCTTTACGCTTGAATGGGAAGAGCCGGGAAACGCCACAATACCCACCGATTCCGCCCCTCCAGAACAGGAGATGGGTGGACGCGCTGTCTAATAAGGGAACGCCTGCAGGACTACAAAGCTTAGCGCAGCTAAGCGCAGCAGCTATGCAGCAAAGCTGCAAGGCTTAGCAGAGGCTAAGCACAACAGCTAGGCAGGGCGACAGCTGCACTAGGAATACAGACAAGGCTAAGGACTACAAGAGGTAGCAGACTTAGATGTGTATATAAAGCTAAGTTAATTAGCCTTTAGAAAGGTATAATTAAAGTTTAGTTTATTTTTATATAGACTAAGTAGCATTCTAGCCTTAGAACAGGCTGCAATACTAGTTGTATATCTTGCACTATATATACCTCCACTTCTGTTCCCAGGACTGTTTAACCCAGCGCCTATACCACTGTCTAAGGGCAAACCACAATTCAGCCCCCTACATTCCTCCCTGCCCAGAGTCACACCGAAGACTGTACATCCCAGGAAGGCTCCCCCATATTCTCTGTTACCTAACATTACTCTACGTGCTCAGGGCATCCTAAATTAGGACTCCCCTAAGTAGTAATTATAACATTAATTACTACCCCCTCCTCTAATAAAGTACAAATCCTAGAAAAACTACTACTAACTTAGAAATAAGTAGTGCACCCCTCTTAGGCATAAATAAGAACCTCTTACTAAATAAAGAAGCTCTAATAGAGTAAATAAACACTATAACGTACCTAACAGGTTAGCCGGCCACACAGGTTAGCCAGCCACTTTTGCTAAGCCCCTACTAAAACTACCCTATTCTAGCGCAAAACAGCCTACTTTAGCCCTATATAGAGTAATACAACATAAGATATTATTTAAAGTCTACTTCTACTACTTACTTACATATATGTAAGTTATGCCTAGTTTAATTACACTACTTATATTACTTTTAACTTAGCTTACTTTCTTTAGCGTGCACTTATGTTGTCAGATTGAAGCACTGTTTCTAGGCTTCCTGAGATGAATGATGGGTTTGGATATGATGTATGGGATGATGATTGATTGTATTGATTTATCGATCCTTTTTCTGCTCTACTCGTGTTGCTCGGCTTTTGTTTTTCCGATCCGAGTCCCTCGCGCACTAGCCCTATGCGCGACCAGCTTGCAACATGCTGCAATTTGCTGCAAAATGCTGCAAAATGCTGTAACATGCTGCAATTTGCTGCAATTTGCTGCAACATGCTGCAAAATGCTGCAAAATGCTGTAACATGCTGCAATTTGCTGCAATTTGCTGCAAAATGCTGCAACATGCTGCAATTTGCAGCAACATACTGTTCGAGCTTATTGCTCGTACTATGTAGCAGCTTTCGTCAAACGTTCCTCCTGTCTTAACAGTAGGTGCGCATATCTAACATATGTTTTTAGCTTTTTTTTATTACTATACACTTTAAACTTTTTTAAAGCAGTTAGACAAGCTTTATCTTTAACTATTAAAGTTCTTTCTACCTAAATTTACTTTTTTTTATATAATTTATGTTACATAGCAGCCTTATTTACTACTTAAAGCTTTATAATCTTTTTTTACGCTAACACTAGCTTATGTATAATAATTGCTGCTTTTTTAAAACCTTTTTAAAAGCTTCTACTATAGATGTTAGTAAGCTATTTATATGCCTTTAAATTCTTACTTTTATAAGTATTAATTATAACCTAGATTTAAAAATATTACTTAGAGTTTATAACTGCTAAGGCTTATTATTAATAAGTAGTAGTAGTAATAAAGTATATAACTAGATATTAAAGGCTATTTTAACCTATTTTAAGTTAAATAGGACTAAACTAGCGCTTTAAAACTTTTTTTAAATATTACTAAAAGTAATTACTATATTATAAGCGTGTATAAAGCATAGTAAAAACTTAAGTTTTATAATATAAGTAATTTAGTTATATATAAAATCTTTAGCTTAGCGCCTATATACTTTCTTTAAAAAGGTAAAACAACCTACATTAAGAGGCTATAAGAGGTGTAATAAGTGTAAAAGTATATAAATAGTAATAATTTTATTTTTCTTATAGTACTACTAAAAATTAAGTAAGTTATAGCTTTTATAGCTATTAATAATAAAAAGCTAATAAGCGCTTATAACCTTTTTTTATATGCTTATTAAAGTGCTTTAACTACTATAGCTTAAGCTTATTTATTATCTAGCTATTCTTAAAGACTATAATAACCTAGTTTTAAGGTAGATTCTTCTCTTTATACTAGGTAAAAAAGTACTAGTAGCCTTTAAAAATAATAAAAAGTAAAATAGCCTACTTTATTATGTTAATGCTTTAGATAACTATTATCTACTTTCTATTACTAACCTGTGTGGCTAGCCAGCCTGTTAGGTACGTTATAAGATAAACTAAAAGAACTAAGAACTATAAGTAAGGAAATTATAGCCCTAAAACAAGCCCTTACTTAGTTAGCTTAGAACTAAGAACTTATAAATGCAAGAGCATAGATCTAAGCCTTATAACTTAAGGTGTTAAACCTTAGAAACACTGCCTAAAAGAAAGCTAGCATTACTTCTAAAAAGACTTAAGACTAGCCCTTTTAAAACTCTTTATAAGAAGCTTAAAGAACTTTAAGCCTTTCTTTACATAATGCTATCTGTACATGTAATATAACAAGGGAGCATTCTAAACTTATAAGAAAATAATCTTGCAAATAGAACTACATCTAGACAGCCCCCTAGCTGTTTAGTTCTAGCCTTACGCTAATAATTAAATAAACTTTAAAATAAATAGTAGCGCACTTTTACTTAAAATAAAGAAGATATTTAGCAGCATTAATTTATTTAAAAAAGCTCTAACTATAATCTATAAGCTAATTAATAAAGAAAAAGCAGCTGCTAACAAAATAAACACTTTATAATAAGAAAAAGACATAGTCTAGCATTACATAGTACGCTTCTGCAAACAACTAGCTATCTGTAGGTAGACAGACTAAAAGGCTTTAAAAAGAATGTTTTATAAAAAACTACATAACATAATTAAAAAAAGTTTATGTAGAATAAAAAACTAGACACTCTTAAAAAGTACATTAAATAAGTAGTAACCTATAATAACAGACATAGAGAATAGGAACGCAAAAAGAAACTAGGCGCAGCAGCATAAAGGCTAGAGCTAGCACCTAGAAAGGAGGTCTTTTAATACAGTAAAAAACTAATAGACCTTAGCTACATAAAACACATATATAGTACCTTCTAAAAGAAGAATAAAACTTTTAGAAAAGGTAATAAGCTGCTGTTAAATAAAAAGTAGAAGAAGTAGCTTTAAAAAAAAGCCTACCTAAACTATAGAAAAGTAGGCTACTTCTGCTAAAAATGCCTAGACTCTAGAAAAGTAAAGAATTAAAATACTACTATAGTAATAAAAGCTATTACTATTAAATATAGTTTTATAAAAAAAAACTAAATAAAAGGCTAGAACACTTTCTTTACTAGTAATATAAAAAAAACTATTCTTTAGTAACTTGCTTTATACTATCCTAGAAAGTTAAATTTTAAGAGTTTAACAGTTTTAATTAGGCGCTATAAAAAATAGCTATTCTTAAAGAATACTAAACTAGCACACAGGCAAGAGGATTTATAAAGAAGATTATAAAGGGATAAGAACAGTTCTCTTTTAATTAATAAATATAAGAAATTTTTACTAAGAAGCTTACTAGGCGTTTTTAGCAGCACTACTACTAGAGATGCAGAGCCTACTACAACTATAGACGCTATTCCCTAGTAGTAGACTATAAGGTGACTATAAAAAACAACTATAAAACTTATAAAGTAATAAGATAAATTACTAGAGCACTTTATAACATGCTAAAAAAAGAAGACGAGTAAGAATTCTTTATAAGAATTAGAGATAAAAAAAAGAAAGAGCTTATTAAGGCAGTAACTTTTAAAGTCCTAGCCCTAAGCAATA